TTGACATTGCTTCAAGAAAAAAATGAAGTTGAAGTTTTACAAACAATTGAGCTAACCTAATATGATATCAGGAATCTTCGAGAGAAAAGGAGAGAGAGGAGAAAGTCGACAAAAATGCTCGGAATGTCGGCCATATTTGGCGAGTATTCAGCACACATCCAATCCATGTTCTAATGTTTACGTATTTAGCTGAATAAATGAATGAAAAAAACGGCTGCGAATCGTTTCACAGATCTAATTTTATCGTGAGTACAGGCCCATTCACTGCCACGTTTATTGAAACCGACGACGAAGAGAGATAGACATAACAACAGGTCATCATTGACGGAGATCAGACATCAACAGACATCAAGACAGTCGTCATACACATGAAAATAGTGATGTGTTTAAATATAATGTAAGTGCAAGTGTATGCAGGCGGACACTCATTATTAGCAAAGCACAACCTCGGTTCTTAACTTACCGTGCGGAGAAAGGAGACCTCATCCTCATCTTGTCGCTCCATATCATCACCAACGCTCGCCATGTTGCCCACAGATAGAATCGATAGAACTTAACCCTAAAAAAACTAAATGATACAGTGGCGTGTGTTCACACTTTCGTTGCGAACGGTATTACAGTTTGATGTCTTCCATACAGACTACCGGCGATCGAAATCCATTGAGATGTTAGAACGCAAATAAGTGCGAGTTGTCCGGTGTCTCCGTTAATGACATGTACTCCAGCTACCCACAGCACAGCTAGCGATCTCGCTCGATAGGTTCGCTCTCTGTGCAGCCGATAACTATTTACCGCTGTTCCGTTTAATATACGCGTCCCCTAAATGTAACAGCCAGTGACACCTTTAATCCAAATTTGTCAATGTCGACAACAGTAATTTGTGTTATTCGACCGCACACAAATAAACGTACGCCTGACAAGACCTCTCCGTCTGCTCTCGCAGCGTTCCACATTCGCTAGTCTCGTCTGATGCAAGCGTTCCCTATGACAGATGAAACGGGGTGCCAGTCATAGTTGGAATGATTTCAAATGACAGGATACCGCAGCGGGGCTGCATAACGTATCAATTGATCGGCTACAGTCCCTGGGGGAGGGACTGTGGACTGCATTTAATTTTTACACGTAATACAATGGGTTATTGTTAAAAAAAATGGAATATTTGTAATAAACAAAAACAACAAAGAGTGAAATATTAGTTTCTATCTCACATATTACTACATACATGTAGCCCAAATAAAACCAGTGATAAAACCCCAAACAAACGAATGGTAAAACTGTAATCAGAATTTTAACTGTTTTTAGTAAACAGTATATCCAAAGTTTTACATAAAATAAGAGAATTTGACAGTGTTTGATCGTTGTGTTTGTTGTGACTTTTTTCTCAAGTTTCAAATGAACCTTTGTTTCATTCTGTCGGTGCAGTCAGTTACTAAAAATAAAAAATAGTAAGATTCACAAATATTGCAGAAACAGATGTAAGGATATCTTTTACTGTGATTTTGACCCACGGATACTCATTCCTACAATGGAGCTCTGTTTTTATCTCTATGCTATTCCCTGCTATTCCTTTTTAG